AATAATAAAATATATTTTGTTAATTAAGATTAAATAGTAAAAATAATTAACGTTAACATATACGTGAACAAGTGGTCAAATGGGAATGTGTGTAATAATCGAGCGTATGTCTTCGATCTGTCGTGACGTCATCTTGGAATAGTCTATTGAAACATAAGCAGATAACAGAAGCGAAATAATGGCAACGTCGGTACGATTCGGGCGGTATAGCCTCTCGTGCAGCTTTCACTTGAATGCACAATGTTCAGAAATTAACTATAAAAGAGATCAAAGATGGTAATCTGTGTGTCAGACAAAGATGCCAAGGAGTTTGTCTGCTCTATGACGTCAATCCCTTTGGATATGTCAATAACCAGACTGTGTTCAGTGCTATAATAATATTATCATGCCGCGCCCCATAATCAATGACCATTCAAATTTATTATTTATTTTCTAATGTTTTAATTATTAATCAATTAATTAAGGACGATTACAGTTATGTATTAATATGCAGCTTCTAATTTTAATAATCGTTTTGCAAAAATTCAATTTTATAGTTTTTCTGGGATTTTCTGGAATTTACAAAGACAAGAAAAATAGATGTTTTAACAAAAATAAAAATAAAAACAGCTAATCAATAAAACATAATTTATTTTTTCAAACAGCTAGCTACTTTTAAACATTTATAATAATTTTCTATAGTACTGTCTCTTATGAATTTTGGGAAAAATAAATTTAACTTAACTTAAAAATAGTATATGATAATTTAAAAGTAACTTTGAACAGTAACTACAACAATTAAAACTATGTACTTAAATAGCATTATTTTCCTTCAAAATTCTATTTGACAGCAGCGACAAACGTTTCAATTTTTGTAATGAGTCGACCTGATTATTGTACATTAAATCCAGAATTTGCTTTATTAATGAAAAGCCAACATCTACAATTAAAAAAAACACTGAATGGTTTATCTAGAAAAAGGAAATACCACAACGGTAAGAACACTATAATGAGACAGACTAGACACTATAATGCACCTTTTGGGTTTAAAGTTTCTAAAGTATTTAAAAATAATGGGCATTTAAATTAAAATATAGCTGAAAGTGAAATCAACAAAAGTACCTTTAGCATGAACAGAGCCTTCCGCATTCTGGAGTTCTTTGGGAGGAGATGGAATGATTTCATTAAATGTTGGTAAAATTTCGTCATCAAGTCTCATCCTTTTCTGGGGTTGAGTAATACAATTTTTGGGTGACTTGCGTTTTAGCTATACGAAAGGAAAACATTGACATGTTTAGTTAGACTGGCTAAAAATCGTTCTTAAACCAGCAGAATGTGTTTACACATTTTGCAAACCGCGTTATTTGGAATCGTTGAACTTACCGCAATATTCTGAATAATATTGATTTTTTTCCCTTTTGCATCTTCAACATCTATTTCAGGCCAATCGTAATGGTCTGAAGGACTTGTACTGAATTCGGGGGTTGACGCTTCCGATTTATTTAGCAAATAAATGTCGCGTTTATCTGGGGATGAATAATTAGCTTCACATCTGGAAATTTGAAAATTCAATATTTTATGGAGCAAAGATAATCCTAATCCTTACCTGGCAGCGATATCCAAATTTTGACAAGTACTTTGATTGGCGTAAGTATAAGCGGCTTGCAGGTGCTTACGACGCGATTCGTTAAAGAGTGCATGAAAACCTTTATGCTTAATGGGCTCTAAACCAAACAAAGGTTTGTTCGATTCTGAAAAATTTCGGTCGAAGAATTAGTTCCAATTTTTTTGAGGAAGAAAGAAAAATCTGATCAGTTTATATCGGAATTTCCCGTTGATCAAGTTAAATAAAACTGCAGAAACCCGTGAACTGTAAAAACACTTACTCGGTCTGGTGTTTTGCTTCACCGTGTTCTTTTGTATTGTTTTTTTCACGTATGTTTTGGTGAAATTTTGTTTGTGGCTCAAAGGAGTGAATAGGTCGCCGCTAGACGATGCGTCCAAATCTAAAAATTTCAAGGGTTGACTCTATTTTAATTAAAGTTTAACTGATCCATTACCTAATTGATCCAAATAGGAGTAACTGTCAAGTTTGAACAACGTTCTCTTTGGTGGACATTCTACCGTTTTTGGTTTGCGATCGGAATCGACTAGCGGAATTTTTGAAGTTTCACAATTATGTATGGGCTTCTCGATTGGTGTACTTGATATTATTGCTGCTAGAAATGATATCATAATACAGTTGACTAATTAGTATTGTTAATCGGAATTTGTTCAAACGACCCACAAAAACCAAGCATTACACGGAACCCAACTTATTCATTCACCAAAATAGAACTGAACCTATTTTTAATTTGCCTCGTATTTACCTTCTTTCTCTCCATTAGCATTCATATGTACCATTGCCTTTACAATACTGCTGTTGGAAACCACTGATGTTGGAAAGTTGTCTAAAAAAGTGATATACTCAGTCATTAACACATAGGTACAAATACGACTTTTTTGCTGCATGCAATGTGCTTATCGATCTTGAAAAATCAAAATTACGAAATGTATGTAATATATATATAATAATATGAACGGTATGTAATATACATACCGTTCACACCTGTAATTGCATTGCTTTGCAAAGGCTCTTTTGCAGAAATTTCCATAATCGGTTCTGCCAGTAGATTCTCAACTTCAGGTGCTTTTTGCGAATCAACGGTATCCGCGTTTATCGCGCATGTATTCTTAAACTGCAGAGGAAGCTTAAACGTCTGGACGTTCAAAATGTTTATCAGCTTTGCATTTTTCTTTGTTTTTTCTTTCGCTTTATCTGGGAATGTGGACAGCAAAAAAAACTATAAAATGTTCTTATTTTGCTATAAATGCTGAATACCTTCCGATTTGGTTTCTACGCAGTTTTTCGACTCAGTTATATCCAGCCCGTTACAGGTAGTCGCTACAGGTTCAATCGCTTGTATTTCGGCTTTAGGGAAACTTTCTGATTCAGTTGCTCTTTCACTGATTCCACTGTGCTTTTTGGGTTTTTCAATTTTTAACTCGTTTGCTTCGTCCATTTTAGAGTCTAAATTAATAAAAGTGTGCTTTGTGTTATATCACTTTTATAACGTTTTGAAAAACTCACCAGTTTTCTGAGCAGCGGTAATTCCTTCAATGTTGTCCATTTGCAGATAATTATTATTATTACACTTTGGAGGCTTTGCGGGCTCACTGGTATTTCTGGATTTCGTTTTTCTTGCGCGTTTGGGTTTGCTTTCTTCTACGGTTATTGCCAAATTTTCCGCTTTGGTATCTAATAGTGAACAATTTTCAGGGTATCAAGTTATATAATATTTCGCGTTGTTTATTTACCACTTGTGAATGAAATCGAAAAATTTTCATTTACCTTTGTTCTTTATTCCGTCCGGCTCCTGTGCCATATCAAAATCAGGCTGAGGGAATCTTTGTATAGTTTTAATTTTTTTCTTCGTACTATTAGCTTTTGGCTTCGCTTTCTTTATTTTCTTGGGTAAAACTTCCATCGAAATGATTTGGTCTGAAAACCCCATTTTTTTATTAGCGTTAGGAGTTTCCTGCCAAGAATGTTCTAGAAAATGTACTTACGACCCTTACCTTCTTTTATTAATTCAGCCTTAGGATTCAATTTCGTCGTGTGTAATTTATTAGAAGCTTTACTAGTGATTCCCTGTGCTGACCGATCTTTCGACTTGGGTTCCGACACGTTAATCGCCCTCTTCTCTTTATTGCTTTCGAGACTCATGTCTAAAACCAAATGTAAGAAAATAACCACTTGTTTTTTTTTAATTCGCCAAAGCTATAGTTACGCTTTTCCTGCAAAGTAGGAGCAGTCGATGGTATCTGTGGACTTAAATCATGATCGACTTCATTTTCCCGCACTATAGCTTCTGTTCCAGTGTTGATGTTCTTGTCCATCTGATTTTCTTTCTCGTCAAGGTCTTCTAAACTTGCCTTTGGAATGGCACCGTCCATAACTAAGAGCGGTTAGAATAAATTTTGCGAATTTCTTATAATTTACAAAAATGCACCTTGTTTTAACACTGAGGTTCTGTTCTGAACTGAATTGGCTGAAACCTGAGAATTGGAATCCTGGTTGGTTTTGGTATCCCGAAGTGCTAAATTTGCGTTATCGGTGGAATCTTCTAAAGTTACTTTCTTCTCAGACATCGCTTGGCTAACTGTTTGCTCTTTAACATCATCCGATGTTGGAGTTGGCTTGTCGGCTGGCAAAACTGGATGAGAATCAATTTTAAATTACAATTTGTCAAATAGTTGCATCGACATTTTTCGAAACCAGTGTTTCGTTTTTTCCACAAAGGGACGGGTTTTGGTGAACATAAATAATAACTGAATATACCGCTCTCTTGTATTCCTACATCCGCTACTGCAGAAATGACTAAATTATCTTCTAATGCAATTTCACGGCTAGATTTTGTTATAGTTGACTTTTGCTCTTCAAGCTCTTCTACTCTTGGTTTTACGATGTCTTCTTTCGGGTCTGAATAAAAATAACGATCAGTATTTTTGCAAAACATTATTGGTCTTTGAGCCAGTTGAGTTGAGTGACCTTGATCCAACAAAACATGACATTGTGGTTCTTTAGTACTATCCGGAATTCCAGAATCTGCTTTTTCTTTCAACGCAATTTTCCTCTCATTAGTCTTCGATTTTGTGTTTTTCACTTTAGCAACTCGTTGTATTTTTGGCTTCGAATTATCTTGTTCCACAACTGTTTGAAATACGGTACTCTCAGGTTGTAACTTTTTGAAAGATAGTTAAATTACCATTTTTTACAAAATCCGAAGTTGAAGACATCTCAGGCTTAGGCACGATATTAATATCTTCATTATTGAATTCTGGCTTCTGAACTAGTACAGTCTCAGAAGAGGTTCGACAATCCATCTCCTGCAGCAATTCAAATGCCTGACTTTCAGCAGGATTACGGGCGATTTTTTTGTGTTTAGAAAATTTTTCCGGGTTTATGACCGAGTCCTCTTGAACAGACGCTAATTCTGAAAAAAAATGTCGGTATTTTGCATAAAAACTATTAATTAAAATGTGAACCTACTAGTCTCAGAAATAAGTCTTGAGGGGTTCTTAGGTAGATTATGCCCAAAATCACTTGCCCAATTCAATTTGGGATGTATGCTTTTCTCAGCCTTAGCCAGGACTAATTCGTCCATGACTAGTTCGTCATTATCATCCGAAGTTAAATCAATAAAAACCATTTCAACCCCATTTTCAATGACGGTCGTGTTATTACGCATAAGAGTTGCTTTGACTAATTGTGACTGGATTATCTGCTCTGAAACCTGCCTTTCGGGAATGCCAATATTAACTTTCATACTAAGCGCCGTAAAAGGTTCTGGTGAGTGCCGTTCCGCCGGCCTAAAGACTTGAGTTGTGCGTTGAAAGATGTCGGAATCAGAATCAGAATTATTTCCATCAATTCCTTGGGGAGTTGAAACGTTCTCTTCTCCAACCGCAGCTTCAAACAGATCTTGCGTTAATTCAGAATCTTGTGCTGACTCTAGCAGACAATCAATAATTGGCGGATTGTCTGTTTTCGGGCTATCATTTTGCGATGCAAGTTTCGCAGACTTTTGATTGTCCAAAACACTAAGAGACCATTTGTTTGAATGGGCTTGTTGAGGATTACTCATTTGTCTTATTGTTTCGGACACATTTTGAGATCTTTTTTCTGTTTCGTTGGGCTTTGACGAATCAACTAGATCCATAACTTTGAAATGCGACATTTTCATTGCTTTCATTGGCTCGGAAAGTTCGACTGCAGTTTCGTATTCTTCGGTCGTCCCGTCAGTAATAGAGTAGAATACGTCTTCGCTCATTAATTGTTCATTTGCTGACGGTGAATAACCACATGCACGTTTAAGTTGCAAAATTTGGTCCTTTAGTGAAACTGACGGATATTGTTTCCCATAATCTAAGCAAGAAAAATACGGATTAGAATTAGGCTGATCAAATAGTTGTCATCAGCATCAAAATAATGGAAGAAATTAAGTTATTTAATAAAAAAAAATAATTTTACCAGTAAGCATTTCTGAGTCATCGGCCATACTTGGAGTTTTGTACGTATTCGAATCAATGGAGAAAACATTTGAGTTTATACTATCTCGACTTGAACAAGCGGAGTATTCAGTGATGACCTGCAAAGGAAGCAATTTACTTATTTATGTTGACCTAATATAAAGAGTCTACTTACACATGACAAGCTCTCTACTAACACATTTTTATTTAATACTGTAGCTTTTGAATGCTTGCCCGAACTAGTCTTTGATTCATTTAATAGTAATTGGCACTGAAATTTAAACTGAATTCAATATGCTCCATATAATTGCTTCAACTTACCAATGAACTGGTTGTTTTAGAAGGCTCAACAGCAAAGTGTTGATCCATCTTTTCGCAATTCGAATTCGAATACTTGAAAACATTCAGTGTAGAGGATGAACCTTCATTGCTCTGGCGCTTGCAAGAAGACCCCTAAAAATGTAAATTGCAAGTCAGTAGGTAAACTGATGTGAAAAGATTTGAAGTGGCAGATGCTTACTGAACTTGACGATGTTAATCTGGAGACTTTTAACCCCAGCGGTTTATAAACTTTTTCTAAAAGAAAATATAACAATTGTGATATGTCGTCTAGAAGAAAAATGAATTCACTTACTAATCTTATTTGAGATTCGAGCTGAGGTGTGCTGAGGAAAAATTAAATAGTAAGTGACCGTGCGGTCGCACAAATAACATGTTCTTACCACAAAACTTGCTCCAAATAGGCGTGGCAAAACGTGCGAAATTAATTTGGTAATTTTTTCTTTCTCGTCGTTGCTGATAATGATTTTTACGTTCCTGTCCATGTTATCCATGTATTTTTGAGCCGTCATCGAGTAGCTGAGACAAGGCTTAGACATTTCCATAAATATAGTCGTTGTACATTCATCCATTGAAAATTTTCTAAAGTTAATTTTTGAAAGCAGTCTGAGTGAAACGGAACGGAAGTATATTTACCTTTTTATTTCGACCTTTTGTACATGACTCGGAAGTATGAAAATACGATTCCAATTATCAATATCCTCGTCCTCTGTGAAAAAGGTGACCATCGGCTCTATAATGTTGAAATCCAACCATCTTCTCCCTTCACCCTATAAAACCGGATGTAATTAACTAGGTTAAAAAATGTTGTGTTTCACCTCATCTGGACATTTGCAGGAAAAATTGCCAAACATCAAGGACTGAATTGGGATGGAAAAGAGCAACTTGGAATCTTGATTAAATTTGTTTAGCCACGTCCTAACATCGGCATCAAAAGTGTTAATAGATATTTCTGAAATAAGAGTATGATGTTTAATATGTGCTTTTCACTAAATGGTGTCTAGTATAAATACCCGTAAGCAAAGCTTTGCTTAATTCGTTGCACCCCGGCAGTAGATCGTATTTGATTTTCTTGTTGAGAAAGAACGCTCCGTAAAGTCGAAAAACTGTTTCCAGTACATCGGCTTGTATCGCATAGTCTCCAAACGTACATAGAGAATCCAACAGTTTATACCTAAAATCGATGACTGTTTTATCGGTGTATAAGTTTACATCTTATACATACATATAAAACATTTCCTTTTCCGCGGTATTCACGCGCACTTCTTTGCTTGATTTGCCAGCTATGCGATTATAAACACTTAAAAGCCCCTTCTTGCTGATGTTGGAGAACGAGCAGTGCAAAAATAAGTCAAAAACCTTCATGGTAACATTTCTAATGAATGTATTTGCTATATCAGTCTCGTTGAAAAAAACCTGCCATAATAATTATATCAAAAACCGCAACAAACTAATAGATTGAATGTAACTAGTAACCTACCGAAATAAAATCGAGAAGGGTCTGAAGGGATTTAATTTGCTTCCTCAATTCCGTGGATTCATAGCTTGAGATAAAGTACATAACAAGCTCGATATAATCCATCACATAGTTAATGAAACATTTCTCTTCGTGCTTTTGAATTTTGATGCCTCGAACCGATAATAACGCAGTGGAGAGCATATGAATATCTGTCCATTTTAAAGTCGCTGGAGAATTCTAAAATTGTTAAATCGTATAAAAAATGTAGAAATTAGTTTACACAAACCAGTTAAAAAGCTGGAAACCATCAACAACTATTAAGGAGAAAGTTGATGGTAAAAGCGGAAAGTTGCCTAACAACAGCTGATTGTTTTACGGGAAGATGTGGTGGAATTTCAGCAAAATAAAAAAGTGGTGCGGTATTGCGTCTTTAGAAGTAACCCATATGTGAAGATGGAAGCTACTCGTGCTTGCGAAACTACACACAATGAACAAGATGAAACAGATGAGATGCCGTGGAAAATGAGTAGTTCTTGACGTTTCGCAAGCACGAGCGGTTTACCTCTTCAGAAGTTACGCCGTTACTAATCTAAAATTTGATTAGATACGATAGTTTTCGGTTAGGAGTTTTTTAATTGATATTTCATGTGTGAAATGAGCGCAATTCATGACTAATTTGGACTAAATGGTGAACGAAAACGTTATTTGAAAAGGCACAAAGCATGCAAATTGACGGACAAATCGCACAGAGGAAATGTTTGCGCCTTCAGGAATTATATTTGTGCAATAAACCTCTAGCTGTTAGTTTTTTTTATAACATGTTTTAGTTCACGCGTTAAAAGCTAGTATAGATTTTAGAATGACGAACAGTAAAGCTAATGGTTGTGGGTAGCATTGTTTTTTCAATTAGGGCCCCTTAGGATTTTAGATTGTTCTTAAGCCAAGAACCATCTACACTCGCTTGAATTGAGGTAGCGCATGCATTAATTACACGTTTCATCACTTATTTATTCTTCGGAAAAGGGTTAAATAAGTGTAAAAAAGTTAAATATTGGTAAATACCCGCTTTCCATATTGGCTATCAACAGACTCGCAGAAATTCTTCAAAACTTCCTGAATCGGTTCCCGCGACACTACAGTGGAGTCCTTCGACTCTTTTTTATTCATAGCGACCGTTTTGCGTATTAGTGTGATTCAAGCAACTTAATTTTGAGCTTAACTTAACCAACGAAAGAACTTGCGGCTCACAGTTTTACCGAAGACATTCGGACATTTTGAAAACTACTGAATCTGACGGCAAACTGTAGAATTTGAAAAAAGTCCATAGTGAAGTCGGCGCAGCCGAACACTGCGTCTTACCGATTAGCTGATTCGGGCATGATCGGCTTCCATTTGTCCGGGTTAACATGTCCGGCTTGATACAGATTTATAGGCCACCAGTTATACAACCGCGTCGGGACGGCTGGGATATACAGGGTGATGCTTTTTATCTTTTGAATCAAATTTGAAATTTTCGTTGCCCAGCACGAACTATGTAGGCATATATTATACCGGGCGTTCATGGTTAGGGGAACACATTTATTTACTACACACAACCAGTTAGGCTAAACTTGTAGGAAAAACTTTCAAAAATTCTCGAACACGCTGCATATATGTTGGTGTTTGATTTTGTTGTTGTTGGTGTTTGATGGCAATTTCTTAACAGTTCCATCAATACAATATTAATGATTATAAAAAAAAACGTTATTGAAAAGACGCCCTAGATTCGTTGAAATTGGACTAAAATCGTTACTAAATATTACACAACATTTCTGCGGAAAAACTGGCTGATATTTCTTGGAAACAACCCACTCCCCATATCCAGGGGAACCTGGATGGGGACTAGTGGGGTCATTGCAGACGTCGACATATCGATCCAGAGGGTTTTATATAAACTCCCGCAATGTATCCAGTCGCTGTAGTTCTTCGACCAAGGAACAGTTGCTGATTTCGAAGTTATTTTCCGCTAGTGGGCGATGTCTTGTGCATTGTTCGCCCTTTAATTTGATCAGGTATGTGAATTTTCAATCGTTTGCCGATTGCGATTGGTTTCTGCAGAGAATTTAGGTTTAAAGCTGCTAAACGGGAGGATTTTTTGGTCGAGCATTGTGTGGTAAACAGTTGCTGGTTTTTATCGATTCGATGCATTTTCGTAGCTATGCCTGGACATTTCCAAAGTCAACTTAGCTAATTAGGTTGACAATTGGGACAAAACTCCTTTAAGTGGTTTAAGATATTATTTCCCTCCTTGCAGGTGCGTGTGTGAATATGGACAGAAAATCACATTTGTGGGTTTTGTTGGTCATCAATTTTATTTTTTTATTTGCTTTTGTTTCTTCCACAACTGTATGAACATTTCCTACTGCAATTAGTCAGTCAAGTGCGCAATATTAAATTAATCCCAATGCAATGTTAGCCAAGGTTGCTTTCATTTCGCGTTTTGTTTCTTTGTTGCCAGGATTAGGTACTTAAGGCTAAAGCGCACTAAAGCCAATGGTTAAACAATGAAAAATTCCACTAACAAACAGCTAATTCGAAGAAATTCCTGGCTGGAAAACGCCTTTTCTGTTTTTTCTGATGAAGCAGTTTAATATAAATAATAAGAAACCTTGCTAATGGGGAAAAATATGTGTTATTCCAGATGCTGTTCATAATGAGACTACTGGGAATAAACTGGTGCTCATATAAACATTTATCGACCTCAAGTTACCATTATCAGACTGAGTGTAATAAGAAACATTTTCAAAGTGCGCGATTGTTTTAAACTTAGTGGCAGGCAGCCATCCTGTATACAGGTAGATTAGTGCTTACCATTCGCGGTGTCGACATAGAAATTATACCCGGTAGAAACGCGCGAGTGAAATTTCCCAATTTATCTCCAGTACGTCATTCTGGTGGGGTACTCTTTGAACTATTTATACACGGCTGTTCAGTACTGTTTTCAATCGAGTTCTACGTGCATTATCCAACCGAAGACAGAAAAAGCCCAGACCTTCTTTCTTTTTGTTCATCCGAGATCTTCATTGTATGGGTAAGTCTTCGCAACTGTCTAATATCTACTATGCTCAAGATCCTCTAGCTCTAGGATTAGATGCTTTCAATGGGCGCAGTTGGTAAAAGTTGACTTTTAAATAAATTACTTGTATCAGCTAGTTTTGTGCTGTAATTTGGAACACTTTTAGAAAGTGACGCATTAAGACAAGGTCCAATCAAAACGTGCTGGTTTTATGGTTTTTAACATGAGAATAATTACTGCAAACCGCTGTTTTACTATGCAAACGTGAAGAGCTTTGTGCTGGCCGAAGGCTCGAATTCGATTGTGTTTTGGCCGCTTATCAGTTATCTTGTTATCAAAAAAAATTGAACAATATGAATCTGCGTCAAGTAACAAAGGCAATCTTCAATAGAAGAATGTAGTTTAAATTTTCTGGAATTTATTTGTTTGAAAATTATACAGCGCCGTTCAGGGTTTTCTAGCCAGACTTTTACAGTCAACAGGTAATGTGCATGCTTTTTAAGCAGAGCTGTGAAGGTTGGTTGATAGTTGAAACCCAAATCGAGAAAGTTGCGAACCGAAATATCGCAGAAAACAACAAAATTTATCGGAATCGACTGATGGAAACTAAAGCGAAAATGAAAAACGTGTTAAATGCATTTTGACCTCGAGTGCAAGCGCGTCTTTAAAATAACATATCTTCTAGACTTAAAAACGCAAAACCTAAAATTTCTAGAGTCGATAGCAGAGGGTTTGATCTGAAAGGTTGGAAGATTTGATTAAAAACCTAAAAGATCCTGGTTTTTTATTTTTCAATGTGTCTTAAAAAACAGAAAACTTCTACATTTCAAATTTTACTTAAAACCAAGTAGTAAGTTGAAATTGTCTTTGAAAATACAGAATTTGCAAAAGTGGAAATGTGTTTGAATTCGAATTAATTGCAGTTTGGGACGGAGTTGCTATTACGTATAGCAAAGGTCGATTTCAAATTGCAAGCGTGTCTTTAAAAATTCGCACCTTCTAAACTCGACCAGGCAGCGAGCTGAAATTTTCACGGTTTTCAGCTGAGACTTGATTCTAAAAAATCTGAAATTTTTATTTAAATCGCACAGGAATCCGATTTTTCGTAAATTTCTAAATGTGTCTTAAAACAGCTTTGTTGCAACTGAAAACGCTACTTTGCAATTTTCAATACAAAATCAAGAAAAATGTCAATCTTAAAAATATAGACTCTTTTGCGTGAAAAAACTTCGCCGAAAAGTGTTTGACTCGAAATAATTTTCACCCGAAACAACATTTTGCAGTAGTTTGGTTTATGGCAAACGTCGGCCTCAAAGTGCAAACGTCTCTTTAAAAATTCCTATCTTCTCAGCTGAATCAGACTCATTTTGAAAAATCTGAAAATTTTATTTAATTCGTACAGCATCCTGAGTTTTGCCAAATTTTTAAATGCTCCTTAAGTGGTCAATATGGTTTGCAAAAGATCAAGTATTGATCTGTAAATCCGATGATGATTATTCAAAAATCGTCACAAAGTTATCAAGATTTATCCGTTTTTTTTATGCGCATTTTGTCCCATACTCAAATGCGCTCGTGTATTGCGAAAAGCATAAATAGAAAAGACCTATTTTTGGCCGATTCATTCAGGTAACCAAAATTTACTCAATCAAGCGAAGAACGGTGAAATTAGAGTTTCCTGGAAAGCTCCATTTGTGCGAATAAGCAAACTATTAATAGATGTATGAATAAAAACAATAATATTATGCGAATTTTCGTGAGCAGATGCGACTGGCGTTGAGTCTAATACTAAAGTTTCAAGTGAAAAACTGCCTTGATCTTAAATATTTCTATATTTGGCACATACACAAGCACGCAAATAACTATTTCATTGTTAAATTTCTGTATTGAATGGGACTTTAATAAAATAGGAAAATAGTTCAAAGCGAATATTTTAAGCAGATGTTGCGCGCTTTGTTAGCGACTCACTCTATATTGAGCCGTTGATTCATTCGTCGAACTAAACGTGGAAATTGCGGAACCAAAACTGATTGCTTGGCTGCTGATTTCCAGCAAATTCTGGTCAAATGTAGATGTTGATTACTATTAGGAGAAAATTGCGTTCATTGTTCCATGCACATGATTATGAGTCGCGTTAATTCCCATTTAACCGCATAGTTCAACGGCATTCAATCCGCATTAGCTGTTCACATTTGTTCAATATTGCGAAAGTTTGCGCGCAATATTCTTGTCTTATTGATCACTTTATACTTTGTGTGTACAACTTACAAATAGAAGTTATAAATCAACTCCTAGACAACATTATTCTCATCCATGGATGTATTCCAGAGCGTGAAAAACCATTACATAATCCACTGCAAGCAATTAGCAGTAGTGTCGGATCAGGAGCGACCTCTTCTGAGCAACATGAGTCGGCTGCATCCGCTTCAACCGGTGGCGGCATCTTGTCCGGTCGTCGGGACCGCGTTGAGGGGCCCCACTTTGAAGGGGCCATGGAGCGCCCCTCAACCGCCCCCATGGTGGGGCGTTGGGGCTGCGAATGGCCAAGTTGACTCGAGACAGACGAGAGTTCTGGTTCAAATCGAACCCTCCTAGGTAGAACAGTTAGTTAGAAGTAAAGTGAGAAGTTGCTTGAACGATTTTCTCTACATCCAGGGTTCACCGATCCTCCTGATGAAGGAGTAGAACATCTGGATTTTTGCAACGCCACTGCCAGCCTCGAATACCCGCTAAAAATCACCGAATATGACCAAATCTATGGATATTGGCCGCCAGCTCATCCTCTACCTCTACCTAGATGGGCTGCGGAGCCTCTACAACCCTACAGGTCAGTGGCAGCTTTGCTCCAATTTCCTGCACGAGGACTTAACATTTTCCTTTGCAGGTTGAAGAATCTGAGGGAATATGAAGTGCTCGCCGGCAAAATTGAGATGGAGTTGCAAAAGCTACTGGAAGAGCACAATTACGACACCGTTGGCAACTTCCTGGAGTTGTACCAGAACTTCAAGAAAAGCCACATGAGAAGCCTAATTGAGTTTTTCCACGCGTAAGTTAAAAGAAGTGATAACTTCATGATAACTAATAAGTGCGAGGAATGCATAGAATTCATTGAAAAACATCCTAGAAGTTTCAGATCCGAAATAATCGACATTTTCGGCACTTTTAAGCGTTTTTTGAGCTTTCTCGATCTTTGACCGACGATTTCTTCCTTATTATTGACCCAAACGCTTTATAAATGCATATTTCTGAACTTCTTACATCGAAATGAATCGAAATTTTTTATTTTTGGACGACATTTTTCCAAGGGTGAATGTCGATTTTTGACAAAAAATGAAAATTTTATCAAAATATCTTGAATTTTACATAATTTTCAGCTCACGGACGCGAGGAATGCATCGAACAGATTGAAAAACATGCTAGAAGTTTCAGATCCGAAATAATAGACATTTTCGGCACAGTTTAAGCATTTTTTGAGCATTCACTACCGTTAGCCGACGATTTCTTCCTTATTATTGACCCAAACGCTTTATAAATGCATATTCAATTTCAGTGCAACGCACTGGAGCTCGTCCACTCGAACTAAAGTCCTTCCCAGCAGCCCCACGAGATAACTATTTTCCATTAGAAAATCATCCATTGCTATTAACAGTTGCATAGTTCACACCGTGCCACAAGAAGTTATCACTTCAAAAAAACCTAATCCACATCAACCAACTCAATTCTTTTGCAGTTACACACCCAGAATATCCGACGAACATCACACATGTGTTGGTCTAGCTTTGGAGCTGCGCTACCGCTTGCAGAAACTAGAACAGTCCTACCCCACGCTTCAGAACCATCTGAGCATCGTTTCATGTGAAGAGAACATCGACTCAGTGGATGGTTATACTGCGTTGAGGGACACCTTCGATACCATGCCTTCCACGTTGGAAAAAGAGCATTGTTTGATGTGCATGCGATTTGAGTTCAATGGAAGGAGTGGAGTGTTGCTGTGCGATCCTGGCTACCATGTTGCCCGAGTTGTGACGGTCATGGCTGATCGGGCCTACCCCCATACGGGTAAAACATCCCCCCGAGAAACACCCCCGAAATTTTACATATAAAATTGCAGGTTGGTTTATTGAGTCTGAGGAGAACAACATTCGCAAAGAGTACAACTACTCATTCTGCACCGCCAAGGAAACCTTTGTGCAGTGGGATGAAAGAACAACGAAGAATGGCAATCGGGAGGAATTCACTGGGATTATTTACGTTGAACGCCCTTATCTTACGGCTGTTGATGTGACTGAGCGCAGGAACTTGATATATCCGTTCAGGTTGGTCATCAGCATCCACTAGTTGAAGCTCACATACGTAATTGCGGAAACATTTTCAGGAGTTTGCTATCAAGGGATCAAAAGGGCCATTTAATTGCTGGCGTCTACTTCAAAGTGAAACTGAAAAGCGATGATTTTACGGTGTTCTATCAAGACATGGGCAAGCAACGGCTAAAAATGAGCTTCTCTGCACTTTTACAAACTGAGGTTTGTGCCCCCCAAAAGGCACCGTTTGCCAAAAATTTTGCAATTTCTGTCTGCAGATAAACGAAGATATTTTGAAGAAACTGAGCATTGCCAACGACCAACTGAACATGCCGAAGGGAAAGCTTTTGGAAACGCTGCAGCAATGCGCAGAACTTCTACGGGATGACCACTATTTACGGGAAACTCTCGCTATTGAAAATCTCATCAGTGTAATGTCAGAGAATAACTAATTTTCTTCAGATGTGTCCTTTTAAGATGGTTTTTGCTTGATCTTGCTTGGTGTTAGTGTTTGTATTTTTTTACTATTTTGCTTGATGGTGTAAGGAATTGCTCTACTGGTAAATTATCTATTATTAAATTTGAATTTTATCCTAAAATAGGAGTGTTGGATGTTTGATTAATTTAATTATTAGTGCTTTTAGGCGTTTAATGACTTTCCAGCTGGATTACTTCACTAGCTTACTTGATCTTACACATTTACTAACTTTTATTTAAAATATATTAATTGTCACTGTGGGATTATTTTTTTGAGGCCTAATTTGGATAGGGAGTATTTTATTATATAGTCAATGTCCCAAATATATTATATCCGCTTGAGTATTATACAGTGGTTTATTAAATTATACCTGACATTTTCCCTTCATCCAAAAGCGTATTTTTAATGCATATCTTTTAATCTGGAGCAAGAAAAAACCTGAATTTTAACCTCGGGCACGTTTCATTAATATTTTCCGACATTTGAAGGAAAAATTCCAACTTTTATGATTGAGCAAATAGCAAAATGAAAGTTCCTCAGACCATGAAAATATTCTGCAGTAAAGGGTTTGAAAATTTGAATAAAATCCCGCAAAATTTGCGGATTCCGGTTTAAAATAGTCAAAATAATTCCTGATTGCATTTAGATCAAACAGCACCCTACAAAATAGAGCTTTTTGCGGAGTTTTGCACTCTATAGAAAACGCTTCAATTGAAAAAATACTGGCATTTATGACGTCCTTTTAAAGTTGGTTTAAAAATGAACGTTTGTAAACAAGTTCCCGACCTTTAAAAATGTCTGACTTCAAAACTTTAACTTCTTTTCTTTTGCAACTGCATGCTCCCTAAAAAATCAATAAGTTTCTTTCTAGAGCAATTAGCAATAAAAACCTTCTAAATTTGAGGGAAATCGCAGAAAATCAAGATTTTTGTTTATCGTGTAAATTATGTTCTGCAACTTACACTAATGCAAGTTCTGTTCTAAAAATTCATAACTTTTTTTAAATAGCAGATGGCAACATGAAATTTCAACAATTCAAAGTAAAGATAAGCATATGAAAGCTCTCAATATTTTATTTAAATTTACGCGACTTTCAGTTTTAATAATCTTGCGAGTTCTGGTCTGAAAATTAACGTTTTAACGCGACCGGAATGTTTCTATTGAAAATTCATAACTTCTCTTCTGGAGCAAGCAGCAAAAGGAATTTTTGTGAAATTGTAGAAAGTATATGAAAATGCAAAAAATTCTCTCTTTCTGAAAATTCCAATGAAATTGATTAAAATTTTGAATTTTCTGAGAATTAATGTTTTTACGCAACCTCAAGTTTTCCATCCAAAATTAATAACTTTTCGTGCAGCGCAGATAGCTACATGAAAGTTCAACAGTTGAAAGCAAACCTACGTATATAAAAACCCTGAAAAATTCATTAAAATAGCAGCGAATTATGATTTTTGTCAACCTTATGAGGCCGGGTCTGAAAATAAACGTTTTTGCACAACTGCAATTTTTCGATTGAAAATTCATAACTTTGCTTTCAGAGGAAAAAGAGTCTTGAAATTTTGAAAATTTATAGAAGATGTATGTAGGTACGTAAAAAATATTAATTTATAATTTCAAAGTCATCGCTCTATGCAACATCGAAAAATCAGAAGGCGTGAATGAAGCAAAATATCAAATTTCCACCCGAACCCAATCCAATGGAATTCTGACTAGTTTGTATGCGGTAAGCGATCGGATTATAGTGGAAAAATGTTTGAGAATAAATATAAAGTAAGAAATTCAAGTAAATCATTGAAAACGACGAAAAAGGTGATAAGTTCGAAATCAAGTGCAAGCAAACCCAAGACGAAAAAATCGAGACGATTCAACCCTAGAAATGTGGTAATCAAACGAGTAAGTAGGTGGATTTAAGTGAATTAGGACGCGATTTAAAAAAACGACTTTTTCACAATAGTTTACAAGTTCGTTTAATGTACTTAGACAATATTGCGGTTTTCTACAGGGTGTTTAAATACCCAGAAAAAAATATCCGGCAAACTACAGCGATTAATTATTTCAACCAAAGTCAAGTTAAAGAAAATGCTGGATTGAAATTTGAAAAATCCTTAAGTTGAGCGATTTGTGAGTTTATCGTGAATGCAATCCGGTAAGTAAAATGCTTATTTAACACGTATATTAAAAATAAATTTAAAAAGTTGACCAATACCCAGATTAAATAAAGATTTTGAAAGGATTTTGAGGCATTTTTGCGGAACGGGGTCATTGTTTATTGAGCTGTAGTAAAGAGGGCGTGGAAATATAATCAATAATCAGACCCGGTATACAATCGATCCAACAATAAAGCTGCGGACAACAATGCAATTCCGGTCACTCTAAAAAAACCACCGCGCAATACTTAAATCAAAGTCAAATTAGAAAATATTCATCTCTCCTCTCAACGTTGGGTGTGTTTTTCGGCAAGATCATCGTGAACAGAAAAAAGTAAATAAATTATAATTAAATTTAAAGCGACTGCAACTGTACGGAATTTTTAACGCGTCGAAATGGTGCGAGGATCAGCTATCGGAATCGACTTAGGTACAACTTACTCTTGTGTTGGCGTGTGGCAGCAAGGAAAGGTGGAAATAATAGCAAACGATCAAGGTATGTAGAGCAAATAAAGAAATTAACTTAGGAAAATTATAAACATCCATATTGTTTGCTTGCGGGTTGACAAAAACGATATAAATAAAATGCAGACGCGTAGGAGCCCATTGTTTGCAACCAACCGTCTATAGACGAATGATGATTTCATCATCAGACAAACTTTTATTGGCAAATCATCCACAGGGAATCGAACAACCCCAAGTTATGTGGCCTTTACGGATACCGAACGGCTGATAGGAGATGCTGCTAAAAACCAAGTCGCCATGAACCCGAACAACACGGTATTTGATGCGAAAAGACTGATCGGCAGGAAATATGACGATCCGAAGATCCAGCAGGACATGAAACTGTGGCCTTTCACAGTGGTGAGCGATAAAGGAAAACCGAAAATTCGAGTGGAGTTTAAAGGTGAGCGAACCGCCGGTTTATTTAGAGCGTCATGTTTTCGTTGCTGTTCAGGTGAAACGAAAACCTTTGCTCCTGAAGAGATCAGTTCCATGGTTTTGACGAAAATGAAGGACACAGCTGAGGCATATTTGGGGAAGAGTGCTTCTGATGCCGTTATTACCGTTCCGGCATATTTTAACGACAGCCAAAGACAAGCTACTAAAGATGCCGGAACTATCGCTGGTAGGTAGAAGCGTTCAGTAGGTCTCCTAAAGTCCACCCTTCACTGGAAGCTTTGCAATGCCCGAAATACTGCATATGATTTACCGAAGGATTTACATTATCGATCGATTCCACCGATGTGCATGCCACAACTCTCAAACTAAATTTAGAAACTTCCTTTCCAGCGAATTTGCATTAATGATACTTTCATGTCTTTCCATTTATTATTCTGATTTATTTTCCTGACTGCTTGTACTTATTATGATTATGATTGAATTTTGTCTCGATATTCAAAATTTGTACTTCACACTTTGACTGAGACCCAGGAAAGATGAGAATTTCCATTTATTCCCATAAAGGAATCAATATCTCAAGTTTTACTCAGGCAGCTCACAGGTCTATAATGTGAAAGGCAAAAATCCAAAGCCCTGAAACAACGAAAATATTGTAGGATGTTTTCGCATTTTTTGGGACACCTGATATATCCAGAAGCAATTTTCAATCAAAGAAGTAATTAATTAATTTCAAGGAATCAACGTTCTGAGAATAATAAACGAGCCGACAGCAGCCGCTCTTGCTTATGGCCTGGACAAGAATCTAAAAGGAGAGAAAAACGTCCTCATTTTCGACCTGGGCGGAGGAACTTTCGACGTTTCCATACTAACTATCGATGAGGGTCTGTTAGAGTAGAAACCCGATGCGCAAACCTTATTTGCATCGCTTATAGGGTCGCTTTTTGAGGTGAAAGCCACCGCGGGCGATACTCATTTGGGAGGCGAAGACTTCGACAACCGCCTGGTCAACTATTTCTGCGAGGAGTTCAAGAGAAAATACAAAAAAGACTTGGGCAACAATCCTCGAGCCTTGCGGCGCTTGCGAACTGCTGCGGAAAGGTGGATGTGGATGTCAATTTTCCGAACTCTTGCAGAAAAATATCGCCTGACATTTCAGGGCAAAACGTACATTGAGTTCAAGCACAGAAGCCTCGTTGGAGATTGACGCCCTCTTTGAGGGCGTGGACTTTTACACGAAAATTTCCCGGGCACGCTTTGAGGAGCTGAACGCCGATTTGTTCAAAAGCACACTGGCACCAGTGGAAAAAGCCCTCAAAGACACCGGCATGGATAAGGCCAGTATCCACGATGTGGTGCTAGTAGGTACGAACTGGAATAGTTCTACTAACATTCCTTCTGCAATTCCTCGAAAAATCCTTAGGAGGTTCTACAAGAATACCCAAGATCCAGTCGCTGCTCCAAAACTACTTCAATGGAAAGAGCCTGAACTTGAGCATCAATCCTGATGAAGCCATAGCGTATGGGGCAGCAGTACAAGCGGCGATTTTGAGCGGCGATCAAAGCTCGAAAATTCAGGCACAAAGCCCGCTTTTAAGCCGTTCTCAGCTAATCTAGCGCTTTTCCAGGACGTCCTGCTGGTTGATGTAATTCCCCTGTCTTTGGGCATCGAAACGGCAGGAGGCGTGATGTCGAAGATTGTGGAAAGAAACGCCCGAATTCCCTGCAAACAGACGCAGACTTTCACGACTTATGCAGACAACCAGCCAGCTGTAACAGTCCAAGTGTTTGAAGGAGAAAGAGCCATGACTAAGGATAATAACTTGCTGGGTATAAATTCGATTTTTGTTCAACACCGCGGTTTCAACCAAAACTGTTTTAAAAAATTGAGTCTATTGCCTACACATTTTCGCCACATTTTTGATTTAGTTTTTGCCCAATATCCCATGGTACGGTTAACTTGACTTTAAAATTTTGAGGACCTGAAATTGGCTTCACAAAACACTTAAACTACTGCTTTTTCCGGCTCCCCGTCCTCGTTCGGACCATCGGAATTGAAGCTCGAAACCGAATTTTCCCTTCAGAGAAAAGCGCCAATTTCGAGTCACTGACCGTTTGTGCAATTTCGGGCAACTTTTTAGGTACATTTGATTTGTCCGGAATCCCTCCAGCCCCCAGAGGCGTGCCCCAAATCGATGTGACTTTCGATTTGGACGCCAACGGCATTTTGAATGTGGCTGCAATCGAAACTGGAACTGGAAAATCGAAAAACATCACTATCAAGAACGATAAGGGCCGCTTATCGCAAAGAGATATTGAGCGAATGCTTGCTGAAGCTGAACGATACAAGGAAGAAGATGATTTGCAACGGGACCGAGTGGCCAGCAAGAATAAACTGGAGAGTTACGTCTTTGGGTAATTAGCGGATTTAATCGCAGTTGTTTGTGGAAGTTTAGGGCTGTTTTAGCATTCGCCAAGCCGCAGATGATGCCGGTCCGAAACTGACCGAATCGGAGAAGCGAAAGGTTCAAAAGGAATGCGACAATTGCGTTCAATGGCTGGACAACAATCAATTGGCGGAAAAAGAGGAATATGAGGATCGATTGAGGGCAGTTGAAAACTTGTGCAGTCCCATAATGGCAAAATTGCATCGAGGCAGCAAAGGGCCCAGCGGGGAGCAGGATGGCCCCACTATTGAGGAAGTCGATTAAAAAATTTGCTTTGTTCAGTTTTGCTAAAATTATTATTCGTTTTCGAATGAATCCAAAATTTTAGAAATGTATGAAAAATCCAAAAGTTAAATTCGCATTGTTTTATGCAAGCCCCTGCTAACCCCATCCTTTTCCATTAGTCTTCCTCGCTCTGTGTTGAATGCAATGTTTTTTTGACACAAGGTTGCCACGTCATAATGTTCTGAGAATCGTACGTGTGACAGTTTGGATTACAGGAGACGTCAATAAGACATTATTCTCTTGGTTCTGGTTTGAGCTTTCAAACTTAAAAAATGTGATTAATTTAATTTACAACAATTATCAAACCGTGGGAAATGAGTACCGTTTGGTGGGTTGTGACAATTGTCGCAAAACTGTCAAGAATAATGCAGATTTTCTCCAAAAACTTGATAGTTTTGAGGAAGGTTTGTATGAACTTTTCGCTGCTCGAATGGCATTTTAGTAATGAGGTGAACGCAATGTGAATTTTGAACGCTAGGGATTGATAAACTAGAAATTACCGAAATTTTTACGAACAAACTGACATTTCTGCAGCAGAATTCAGTTTACCAAATGCCCCTCAAAAGGACTCAATGCTTAGACTTTTGTTATTCGTGAGTTCAACTACCGATGGTGGCGCTGCAAAACGTCAAATTACTCTTTGTCGAGTGACAGTTGAGACTTGTCAGACTTGTTTATTTATTGCAGTTGATGACATTCATAACATAAAACAATGGTTACACACTTTTCGATCTGTTTGAATTTTTTTTGCTGATATTTTGCCCTATGAAGGCGTGTTGTATTTTTTGGAAAAGTGGGAAATTTCAGTGAGCAAAAAACCTACCAAAAATTATTTAAAGAAAGTCGTTAGAAAATAAATTATCTATAAGGGGACTGAAGTCATAAGAAACACGTTAGTCAATCGTCATTTAAATCCCTATTTGGTTCTAAAATATACAACTGATTTATTAAAAAAACTGGCTTTAATATTACTAGTAATAAAAATGAAAAATTTCAACACCGCTCAAAACCCTAATGAAGGGCATCAAATTTTCACTAGGGCTTCGCTTCCCGAAAAATCTTGAAAGCTCATAGAGATAATAGAGCTGAACTTTATGAGCAACCCGGTATGGTTTTAGTCACCACAATAGAAAAACATCTTTGGCCATACAGCGAGGAGAAGGGATCTGTCGGCTCTCAAGTTTCTTGAGTTGGCCTGGTCGGTCGAAGGATCGCAACGCGTCAAGCGACGAACGAGAAACCGAGAATAAAGTAGAATAACGTTAACAGAGCTTGGTGTCTGTCGCATACCGACGACGAGCTTTTAAACTAAACTAAAAAGCTACCTGGTTTTTTGTGCCTTTGGAAAACTTTTTTGCGCGTCTGTTTCTTCGTTGGCGTCAAAGACATGCTCCTAGTCGGTACGGGGACGGTGAAACTGTAAAGACTTTCCGGCAAAAGCTTGCAGTTCGACGCTTTATTTGTGATCGTTGGCAAGAATGTGCTGGCTTTTAAAAACCCGAGTGACCAAGAAGGATACGTTGTTGATACAATGCGGTGATGTGACTGAAACTAGTTGATAACCTGGTTTCTTTGCACTTGGGATTTTGGATTTTTGTGGTGATTGTGTTGCTAAACTTTACTCGCAATGGATAATTTGGCGATTAATAATATGGGAATTAACTTGCCCGAGGTGAGTTTCACTCAGTTAGTTCAAGCTCAAAAAAGCGTTCTTTCGGGTCGCACCGGGCTTTTAACAGGTGCGTCAAAAGCACACTTGCGTAGGGATTTCGCATTTTTATCTCGCTATCGCTAATGCCGTTCAATTGCTTTGTAAACTGCCATGTTTATTTGCCTTTAGCGTCATCAATATTTGTTTAACACACTTGAGGGTTTTGTTGTAATTTTTTCCTTACGCTGGAATTTCGTAAAACTACAGCAAAGTCCTGTTGTTCTATACGGTTTCTTGGCAGTCGAGTTTTCCATAACCGGTTAAGCTTTTAGAGGGTTCCGCTCAAAAATTAGCCGAACCATAGTCTGGTGTCGGGTTTTATTTTTTTTTTTAACCTAAAGAATACCCGATTTAAGCAGGTTAAGTAAAACGAATCTTGGATAGTCATATAAACCCGGAACAACATTTTTTTCTCTGAGAAAGTGATTTTATCCACAGATTGTTTCTGACTTATAACTGCTTGATATGAAGTGTACAGGGTGCCTCAACGATAGAGTAAAGTAAGTTAAGGCTTAACCGGTATTTTTCGCCTCAAAACTCTCATCGTCTCTTCTATAGGAACTTGCCAAAAGTTGCAGTGCAGGAAGCAACTTTTTTCTAACGGAGCACCCGATATTTTCTTTCATTTTTGAGTTTCTATGTAAATTCCAATTGCTTTTTGTTATGCAAAATATGAACGAAAAGTGGATAGTTTTTGAGCTATTCGGATTTAACGATGCAACTTCGTATTTTCATGGTTTTGGTAGGTAAAGCGAAAATTTCTCCGTCGTCTTCAGACACAAAATTTCGAAATTTGGCAGCAGAAAGGACCGATGCTAGCGCATCTTCAGACTCAAAAACTCACTTATTTTAAAGGGCACACCCCGTATATTGATAGTGATATTTGCCCAAACAAAAATTTCGTTTTGGCTTAATTCTTCCTATTGCCTATTTTCGGTAAAATTCGATTTGAAAAAGTGAGCATTTGATCTTCAAAGTACGTTAATTTGGACGATTGTTATGACCGCCCTGTAGTTTCGAAGACAAATATTTAACGAACCAAATATTAATAGTATTAGTCCTTTTCCTAATTTCAAAATTTTGTGCGTAAATACGACGGAGAACTTTTCATTTCATCAACACCATAAAATCGTTAAAACTGAATAACTAAAAAACTATCCAATTTTCTTCAATATTTTCTATAACAGAAAGTTACATAAGAATTCAAAAATGAAATAAAATATAGAGTGTTCCATTAGAGAAAAGTGTATAATCGGAAAAAAAATTTAATGCACGTTTACTATCTTAAATTAATTTTTAGCAAATGCCGTTTCACGAAAAACGATTAACGGCATTAATTACTGTTGATCGTTTTTGCATAAAGTCTGCTACCGAATTGTATAAAACAGCTTTTCTAAGCCTGGGCTCAGTCCGGTGATTGAATCAAATCTAAGCAAACCGGACTGCACGTCTCGAGAATAATGCCCTTTAATCAGTCAGTTAAATTTATCCCAGTCAGGTATCCGTAAATCGCATTCCTAGTCTTATGCCAATAAATAACATCAGTCTAAAAGCGAACCGATCTGGATTTGTCCAAACGATGTTGTGGTCTCTTTAGAAACTTTTGTAATCGATGCTTTASAAATGAGCAGMAAACCACGAWAWGTTTGCCTCARAAACACTTTCCTTCACGGGAATTTTAAATCTGTACTGATTTTTCAGCGCAAGTTTAGCCATAAAACACTCAATTCCATACATAGAAAAACGTATTTTACGACTCCTAAAATGTGACTAGTACGTGAGAAAATGTGCGAAGAGTAAATGAACTCAACAATACGACCCAACTACCTGTGCATTTTTGGTTCCCAGAAATGCAACAGGGCTCGTTTCGGTCAGGGGCGGATCCAGCTTTCGAGCCAGGGGGGGTCAAGTAGTAGAAATTCAGACTTTTGTTGTGTATGAAATTAGAAAAATTATCGTTAGTCGTTATAAACCCAGAACAAATTGGTGGTCATGACCCCCATGATTTGGTCTGGTACCAAGAAATTGGATTTCTTCGGTTTTCTCTCCTCATATTGTTGTGTTGACGTTAGTGAGCAGTTCTATTCTCATGAACCAATCAAATATTTCAAGGCCGATGGTTCCAACGCCACGATGGGTACCAATTAGGGCAAACAAAAACATTCAGAAATAAAATCGACGACTCAATGCTGTGGTCACAGTAGAAGAAATGAATGATTTTCAACGTTGTTTTTTGATTCATTTGGTGTTGAAAATTTCCAGACGATGGAATTGAGTTTTTGACTAGTGACTCACTGAAATTTAAGGCAATTTTCCAATTGTGGGAAGTTGCAGGTTGAAATCCTTTTGTACCTTCGGGTAAATGCTCAGGTAAATTTTGTCTGGTAATCTTGACCCTTTACATTGTCGTTTTTACTGTCCTCTTGCAAATGGTGTTCCTTAACTCAATTTCACTTATTGTATGGGTTCTTCAATGCTCTATCCAGAGATAGAAAAACTGGTGTTTTTGGCTCAAATGCTTTTTCAAACATGACGAAAAATGCGGCGTTATGTTTGAGTCAAACCTACTTGTTATCTTGAAATTTTTGCTTTTTTATGGAAACTGCCTACATTCCCCAAGTGACGCTATCCTCCGTAAATGGGATATTTAGTGCTCTGTCCAGTGGGTACAAACGAGCAAACTGGCTCAATTTGCGACGGAGTTATGAGCCAAAATGTGGCGTAATGTATGAAATTGCGGCTTTATCAGGCTCCCAAATGTGCGATGTGCAAAAGTTGCTTTTGTCTGAAAACTGCCACCATTTCATAACTCGAGTTCCACTTAGTGAATGGGGTTTTTAATTGTCTCTCCAGTGGTGGAAAAACGTGCTCTGTAGCTCAAATGGTTTGTGAGATATTTTGCCAAAACTGCTTATAACTAATAGTTATCTGGAAATGTTAGCTGCATGTTTCTTAGGTTCCACTTTATAAATGTGCCCTTTGCAGTGGTGCAGAAGCGCGGCAGCTCGGTTTGCTACTGAAATATAGAGAAAGTTTGACCTAATCTTGCTTGTTATACAAAAAAGTGTGTTATAAAAATTACACTGTTTGTGTGAAGACTGCGTCTATATTCTAACGAAGGTTCCATTAAACCTCCACTCGTTGCTTCCCAATCATGCCCAAAAGGACAAGGAGTTTCAAGAAACTGCACATTTTCTGCCTTCTTCACATGTCTGCTTTTTGGGCCAGTTTTCGTGTTTCTTTGCAGAAAATCTCTTTTTTATATAGTTTGCTGATATTTTCGCACATTAAAAATAACCAATATTCAGACACAGATCCTTGCTGGCTTGTCTTGACTATTTTTAAATTTTTTGGCAACCAAAAGTTTGATTTTCTCTTTCTTTAATGTATCACTTCCTACCGCCTTCCTCTGCTACATTGCAAGTTGGCCTGCCAATATCCTGCGGGAATTGGAAAAGAACGTTAATTTGCTTTAATAAATTGTCCAGAGAAAACACATGACTAATGGCCTGCGCAAAACCTGGCATGCACCGAATGTGAACTGAATTATTGTGAATTTTATTAGTTGTAAGTACGTTTAGGTTTCATGCGGTATAATTGGATTTTTCTGCAAAGGGCATTTAATCCCATTGGAAAGCCGGTCGGATGGATGACAAGGCATGTTTTAAAAGTTCTCCAGGGCTTTAAGGGAGATTTTGCCAATCTAATCAGAAAACCGCTCAACTCAGCCATTAATAACGTTTTTATATATTGTCAGTATAATTAGACTTTTTGAACGCGATGAATTTCCAGGCCTCGAAGGGCCAGTGGAACAAAAGCGATCGGAAATTTTAAAGAGTTTTTTGTTGATTTTTAATCCAGTTTCCAACAGAAACCTTCCTCGTTGTCTTTTAACGCGCTTGGCCTGTCGATTTTCTCAACTCTAATCATTCCTGTTCTTTTCCGTCCACTTAGCCACACAATAAATTATTTTGCCAACTGGTTTCGAAACGCGTTATCGCCTCATTACATCGAGCCAAGCTTTATGTTTTTGCATTTACGCCAAAAAGGACAAAACGCTGCTTGTTTTGCCTTTGGGCGCCTGCACATTTCGATCGAAATTCTGTATTATTTCGCATAACTCTCATTTTGTTCAGGTTTTTCTTTTCACTATAAACTGTCTCAATTGCTGTGTACTTACTCACTTTTCTAATGCATCTGGTTTTTCTTTGAATTAGTAAGTAATTTCTGAAGGAAACCTTCAATGTCCATTTGCTTTATGTGTTCAGCCGTCTAAACATATTTCTCGGCTGGTCATTGGACCCGTTTTCTTCCTTTGAACTACAAACACTTAGACCGCGAATACCAGAAACGCGGCACTAAATAAAAATATTTTCCTGCCACTTAATCCTTCTCATCTTGTTCAGCAAGTTCTCAAGCATTTTTCCAATTCACCGTAAAGACGAGGGCTCGCCAACTAATGGGGCCTTTCCCCATTTTCTTTCTTACGTTGAAAATAAAAAGGATTATCGTAAGGCCCTTGGAATCCCAGATGGATAATCCGCCAGAGCGATTTGGCATTTTGGGCGATTTGTGATATACGTAAAACGGATATTGAGTTTGCCATTTTTATGAAAGTGAATCGACTACGAAGGTTCCAAAATCGAGCCAAACTGTTCCACGGGAAAACAAATTTTGGAAAATTGCCCCTAACTCGTTTGCAATTTTTTCTGTTTCACATTTTCCAGATAATTCAATTACGCTAAAATGACCATAAATATTTGTTGCCTCGATTTGCATGTGCCTAATGGCGATGTTTTCCTCTGAATAGGGCACGTAATTTAATCGTAGCGTGATAAGCTGGCAAGCATGCACCTCATTTGCTAAATTGTGGAAATATGCACCTAACCAGAAAAAGTAGCGGATATAGAGGGTAATAGCCCGCAAATGGAATGCAAGCGTTCATGCAACCATGCAAACTG